GCTCTCCGTCTCCACCCTGCTATTGGTCAGGTTCCCATGGCCAGGTGAAATATTTATCCACTTCTCTTCCCCAGCCCTGCAAGCTGGTGGATGTGGGCAGTTTATGTCTTTTGTGCCCTTGACTTTGGATTTCAGGCAAGCTGATTGCGAGGTCATCCTTCTGTAGGGATTTAATTAATCCACTGGTTTTGTCATTTCAATTACAGTAGCCCAGTTTAACCTGCCCCCCCCTTTGAAATTACTTTCCTCAAAAGTTGTGTGCAAGTCATGCCTTCAGCCCTTGGTGCGCTGGTGCGGCTTCTGAGCTGGCCTTCCTCACTGAGGCAGGGAGGCCAAGTCCAGGTTCCCGCTGCACCTCCTTTGATGGCAGCGCCCCAACCCCCCCTGCAGTTTTTGCCCCCCCGCCGCTAGAAGGGCCTCTGTGGAGAGAAGTCTGAGCTGTTGGTTGGGTTTTTATTTCAGTACAGGAGTTGATAAAACGAGATAAACCCCAGGCTCACAGGGCCGGGGAAATTAAACAGAGATGATATCAAAGTTCCCCTGAGTTTTCAACTGTGATACAGTAGCTTAGTTTTCTCCCAGACTGGGGCCGGGAGGCACGCCTTTGATTCAGAAACAATATTCAGCATCAGTTAAGCCCAGCACTGCTGACTTTTAGGGATTAAGCACACTGTTGTAGTAATTCTTTGATCAGCTACAAGGGAGCAGTGTGCTGTCTGTATGAGAGGCTTTATAGTTAAAGTTCATTTCTCTGTGAACCTGAGATGACAGCATTGCCAAGGTGCTGCAGGGCTGGGCGTCGGGGCCTTCTCCAGGCACTGTTTGCAGCATTGCAGGCAGAAGCGGGAGGCGGATCTTCTCCTACCCAGCCTTGTTGCATTGTATTCATCAGGCACGACATGGAAAAACGAACTCCTCCTGGATTTTCCTCCGGAAAACACACCTCACTCTAACTGATCCCATGTCGCCCCCATATGTACATGCAACACACACACACACACACACACATTCACACACACTCTCCTGCCTGGTGGGGAAATCCTCTTGAGGTAGACACAGGAATAGCTGCCCGGGGTAAAGCTCTGTAGCCCTCAGCCTTGGAAATGACGTAGCGGAGGCTGGCCACGCACCCGGAGTAAAGACTGGAATGGGGATTGGGGCCAAATGACCTGCAAGGTTACACTGGGAGCACTAGCTCAAGGTCATTGTTGCCACTGCAGGCTCCCTGTGCCCACGTGCAGACAGGACTCCCAGGCGGCATCACCACCTGCACTCGTCCCCTGGCATTTACCGAGAACTGACTTAGTTTCAGGTTGGTTCAGTCTTACAGCTCTGAGAAATCTCCGCCTCCGTTGTGTTGTCACCTAAAACACTGGCCAACTTTCGGTTTTCCCTGTAGAGACTTTCCTTGCAGCCACAGCTGGGATGGTAGGAGTTTCCCCAGATTGCTCCCCCACCTCCTCCCGGTTGGCCTCGCGACTTCCAGTTGGTAATGGAGCCCCTGTGTGCTGTCGATTGCGCACGCACGGTGCTATACATCAACCTATTCCCTCCTGTGCAGTGCTTGGATCTCCCTCATTAGGCCTAAATTTACCTCCGTCCTACACAAACATGGCCTTAGCTCATTTTTATTGTTGTAAATTATTTATGAGGGAAATGTTGAATCTTGAAACTGAGGTGTGAGGAAAATTAATCCCATGTTACTTTTATCTTTCTGTACTTTCCTCCCCCTTGCTTCACTTACTGGGCTATGGCTGGAGAAAAGAGCTTTGGCATTTTTAAAGATAATTAGTGTTGAAACTGCTTTCTCAATCAGGTCTCAGATGGGATGTTGGTCTCTGTCGGCACAGTGTCACGGAAAGCAGACCAGACCTGGGAAGGAGGACTAGATGTCCCCTTCCCGTCTGCCAGCTGCCAGGTTCATGGCTTCTGACCACTGTGGGCCTCAGTTTTGTCTTTTCTAAAGTAGGGGTCGTAAGACCCAGCCGCCTCCCAGGTTTGGTCTGATCATCAACCGAGGAGGAGCCTGAGACAGCTTTTTGAGAACTGCAAAGCGCTGTACGTATGTAGTAGAGGTGTGTTAGTGTGTTTTGTGTGCAGTTAGAGTTTTGAGATTAGGGGTGGTCTCCATCTGCTGCGTAGCTGCTGAGGATGAAACCGGGGGTTGCTGCAAGTAGGCCTGGGTATGTTCTGTTTTAGACCAGCATTGCCTCTTGCCAGACAGGTTAATGTTGGTCTTAAACAGCCGGCTCCCCCCTCTCCCCTCTCCGGCAGATCTGCTCTGCAGGCTTGCATTAATGGCCTCCTCTCCCCTCTCAGAGGCCTGGCCTGTGACCCTGGGCGGCTGAGTACTCGGCGGTGCCATCCCTTCTGGCTCGAGGCTCCACACAGCCCGGGAAACGTGGAGTGCTAGTTAATAAATGGCCTTTTGTTAGGAAGGTCAATTGAAGTGACGGTAGAGACGCTGTTAAAAGTAATTTGCAGTCAGAAAATATGTAATTCAGGGCAAGCTGCTTTGAGTGATTGCCTCTGCCATGGATATCTTGGGCGTTTCTCATTAAAAGCTTCCTTTGCTGGTGGTGGGGCTTCCTCCACCGCCGAGCCGGCCGCGGCCCCGCGCCGCGAGGAGTCATTTGTCTGTATTTCACAAAGGCTGCCTTGATCCCCAGGGTACAGCAACTGGGGGGAAAGGGAAGAGGGAGGCGTGCATCTGAGATACTCTGTGCTCATGCTCTGCTGTCGCATCCTCCCGGCTGCAGGCTGGGCTGGGACCGTGCACGCATGGGCACAGGCCGCCGGCTCCTTTGTCTGCCTCAGCCGGAGGCAGCCCGCAGCCATCTTGGAACCTGCCGCTGGGCTGCCTCCCCGGTGCATTGTGGGAGCGTCGGGCTCCTGGGGCGAGATTCCCCACTGCCCTTGACCGAGGGTTTCGGGAAGCGAGAGCCGTGGTCTTGGGCGTCCGGATCGGTCGTGGTGACCCGGGGACGGGAATCTATCGGCAAATAAAATCTTTGATATATATTCCCATGTTTGCCTCTTCTCTCTCTCTGTCTTCTCTCTCTCTCTCTCATAGTAGAGGCAGTACTATCTTAATAATAATAATAATAAAAAAAACTTACCTCGGATGTTCTTTATTAAATTCACAGCATGATATTTTAGCACTGGCAGAATTTGTACATTCCGTTAATGAGTTGTTAATTGCAAAGCGTTTTGGTAACCAACAGCAGGTACCCATATTTTTCAATCTGCAGCAGTGTTATTTTCGTGCTACCATACTATGGGATTTTCCAAGTGAAGATACTTTTTTGATTAGCATTTGCTTTGGATCGGGCCGGTGCAGATATTTAACTCCAAACCTTCTTTATTGGGGGCATGCGTGTCTACTCATTCAGTAAGTATTTACGTCATGCCTACTGTGTGCGGGAAGCACCAAGCCCTGTGCTTTATATAAACCTGCCTGGTAAATGAAATCTGAAAATACAAAATGTGGTGTGGTGTCCTACCCCCTGCCCTGGGCTCTAGAAGCTTATTTTCAGTAGAATTAAGTAAAGCATAACTTCGTTTAGCTTTTGTCATAAACGGAAGTTGAGAGTGTGGCTGCTGCCAGGCACTTCCTAGCTTTGATTAGAGACTTGGCTCAGTTTCATTGACAGGTCTGTTTCTGGAGACTTCTGTGGGCTTTAGGGGACACTGATTACATGGGTAACTTGCATATAGCATTCTGATTGTTCCTATTTAAAAGGCTGCAGTCATTTTTAATAGCCTCTGCCTTTTCTGATTCTAGGCTGAGAACTTAAGAATATTTCTTCTCCCTGCCTGGTTAAGGAGGGTGTTTGGCTTGCTTTAGAAGCGGTAACCAGCTTTGAGACATCTGGTAGACCTACAACCACTAGGATTTAATTGCTGCAGAAGGAGGTGGAATTTAACTTGCTCTTTTTCACTGCTTGTCCTTTTAAAAGAACTAAAAGTCATTTACATAAGGTGTTACCTCTTTTATTTGCTTTCTGGTGCACTGCCGCTGGAACAGCCCAGACCCAGTGCTCTCTATATTCTACTTGTCTCCTCTGGTCACATCTAGAGGCATTCAGCAGCAGAATAATAATTCCATTTCCCCTCCCTTTCTCCCAAAGTGCCTGGCAAGAATTATGGTCATTGTTAGTGTTTAGCTTTGAGTAAATGCCCACATGACCTGCAGCATTAAACACAACAGAAATGCCTGCCAGCCCTCCCCAGGAATGGCACCTACCACGTTTCTCGCCAGTTATGCTGGACCTGTGTGCCCCAAGCCTGCCAGTCTCGTCTGCTTTTTGTTGAGTGCCTACTGTGTGCCAGGGACCCCTTCGGGCCCTTCATTTAATGACTCCCTTAGGTCTCATGGCAGCTCTGTGACTGTCGGTAGCATGACCTCTTGGCTTGCTCAGAGTCACCTGCCAGTAAGCCGTGGAGCCTGGATGTGAATGCCATTCCTTTGCCTCTGTGCCCAGGACACTTTCTTCATGTGTCTGGAAGTCCTGCTTGCTCAGCAGCGCCCCCTTGGTTGTAATAGAGGCTGTGGATTGGGAAGCTTGCGCCTCCCCAAGGAGATAATGTACAGGAGAGAAGCAAACAGTGCTGTGAGATTCAGCTGCGTCTGATTTCTCCTCAGAGAAGCTACTGGCATCTGTTCAGAAATCAGACAGCTTGTCGAGAGAGTCAAGAATGGTTTGCTTTTGGGTTGGAGTAAAAGTCACTTCTCCAAGCCGAGACGGGCCCTCATTAACTCTGTTAGCCCAGAGTTCAGAGCCAACTTGAGAAGATCAGGGGTCAGAGATGACTTGAGTTCTTGATCTGAGGAAAGGGTCAGGTAAGGTCGGTAAGGCTCCTGTAGGTGGTTCAGGTAGACAGAGCTTAGCTCAGGATATTTGCCCCAAGATTCTGGTTCTAAGTGTTTGAGACTTTGTATTGTTCACTTTAAGTGGTCAGTTTGAATTTTGTGCTTTCTTTTTCCTTTTTGGAACTAGGACCAATCCACCATGCCTGAAGTCAAAGACCTTTCCGAAGCTTTGCCAGAGACATCGATGGATCCCATCACGGGAGTGGGGGTCGTGGCTTCTCGGAACCGAGCCCCAACAGGCTATGATGTAGTAAGTCAAGATCCACTGATTCCACCATGTTTACCTCCTGTGTTCACGCCCCTCCAAACCTTGTGTGTAAATGTGCTTCTTCCCTCTAGGAGCTTAAACGGAGGGAGAGCATCGCTAGTTGGAAGAGGGGGGTGGTGTTCTGGTGTGGGAGTCCAAGAACCTGAGTCCATCTGGGCTGTTTCCTGACTGAAATCACTTGAAATTTGTGATGGTTGTTTTCACCTTCAGTAAACCTAAAGGGCTGGCCCATTGATTTCTAAAGTCACTTCTAGTTGTGACATTTCATGGAGAGGGTCCGAGAGTCTGAAAGTTCCTTGGTGGTTGGCATAGATGGTCCCACACATATAAACATCATCAGTGTATTGCCCTATGTTTGTATAGCTCTTTACAGTTTACAGAGCAGTTGCCTACCTGGGAACTTATTTGGTGGTCACAGTCCCCTGGATGACTAGGGGACAAGTAGTTTTATCTCCACTTGGCTGATTAAGAAAACCCAGGCTGTCATAAGGGAAGTGACAGAGTCCCAGGCCTTGGGAGTGGTGAATCGGGAGCAGACCCCCTTCCAAGTCCAGTGCTCTGACTGATCACACCAGTACAGGTTAGCAGAGAACTTGCTATGCTTTTCAGCAGGTGTCTGTGGTGGTGTCCAGTAGATGGCTAGAATTGGCTATTTTGCTGTTTCATTACGTAAATTGTGATTTGGGTGGAGCTTAAAAAGTGCTGAGTAACATTAGGAGGGTTTTGTTAACATCGGCTGTGGTCATATGTTCTGGGATTCTAAGGTGGTCATATTTTCAGTTTCCTTATTTTGTTTAAGACAGCGTTTTATTCTTGTTTATTGAAAGCGTGCCATGGGGCACCTGGGTGGCTCAGTCGGTTAAGCGTCTGACTTAGGCTCAGGTCATGATCTTGTGGTCTGTGAGTTCGAGCCCCATGTCGGGCTCTTTATTGACAGCTCGGAGCCTGGAGCCTGCTTCGGATTCTGTGTCTCCCTCTCTGTGTGCTCCTCCCCTGGTTATGCTCTGTCTCTCTCTGTCTCTCTGTCTCTCTCTTTAAAAAAATAAATAAAGATTTAAAAAAAAGAGAGAGAGAAGGGCACCTGGGTGGCTCAGTCAGTAAAGTGTCTGACTTCAGCTTAGGTCATGATCTCACGGTTCGTGGGTTCAAGCCCCGCGTCAGGCTCTGTGCTGACAGCTTGCTCAGAGCCTTGGACCCTGCTTCAGATTCTGTGTCTCCCTTTCTCTCTGACCCTTCTCTGCCCATGCTGCCTCTCTCCCTTTCTCAGAAATAAATAAAAATTAAAAAAATAATAAAAAGAGAGAGAGCGTGCACCAAGAATACATAAGAATAAAAGATTACGGGTCTCATTAGCCACCACTGAAAACCTGCCACCATGATTATATTAGCATCTGATGTCCCAGGGGTAGGAGGGATACAATAGTCTGGTTCAGAAGAAGCTGTAAGGGATGCTTTCTTAGCCTTGACACTATTGGCATTTGGGGCCAGATAATCAAAGAATTCAGCGTTGTGGGACTGTCCTGTGCCATGTAAATAGGAATCTTAGCAGCATGCCTGGCCTCTACCTACTAGATGCCAGTAGCACGCCCTTCCCCCCCCGCCCCAGTTGTGACCAAAACTGTGACCAGACATCACCAGTGTCCCCGGGTAGAAGGGATAGAGGCCCAAAGCAAGCCCTGTTGGGGATACCACAGTATATACTGAGTCAGCCAGCGCTGGGTCCCGAGCAAGGAAGCAGCAGCCCGTTAAAATGCTCCACATCACTTTCCCCACTGTTTGAAAGCTTATAAACATTTTAAAAGTGAAAGGGCTAGGGAATCTTTCCTGACAAAGATTTGAGTCTTACCTGCTGTCTGACTTCAAAGCACTGTTTGAATGTATAACTTGCCATAAAATAGAATCATTAGATATGGCTCTGTGCCACAAAACTCTTGGGAAGCTAATAAAAATGTTCCTGATTTGAGAAGCCAAAGTGTCTTTTGATGAATTAGATATGAAGCAGCAAGTCATGAATCAGGGCAGGGGCTCAGGCTTGCGGTCTCTGGGGGGACGGGCGCGGGGGTCGCTCTCCTGGGAGGGCTCCTGCGGGGGGCTCACCCCCAGGCCATGGGTCTCCGCGTCTTCCTGCTACTCTCCTCTGCTGATCTGTGTCTCTAACATTCGGCTTGTACCTTTGGGGTCATCTTGAAAGTGTGGCTAGTGGGTGGCGGATGGCCTTTGGTAGTCTGGTTTTCTGGAAGTCTTGGGAAGTCTGACAGGAGCAGAATCTATCCCTATCATTTTCTCCTAACATCTAGCTCAGGGCAGAAGAGCGCAGTGTCAAATGAGTAAAATTAATAAGCACATTTCATGATTATGCTGTACCACGCATTATAGTGAAAGGTGAGCAGGGCAAGAGGCTCCCCGGGGTCAGCCTGGCAATTACCCAGCCTCTGCACGCGGAGATGGAGAGTGTCCGAGCTCCCTCTGAAAGCCCTTCCAGGGAGAGGGGTGGGAGTCATCTCTGTGTACTGACCACTGGATTGTTCTCAGGTAAGATCTCGTTCCCTAGAGGTCCGACCCCGAGTTCAAGGGGAATGGGGGGAGGCCGGGCAGAAGAGAGGCCCTTCTCATTCCTTTTATCCAGAGTTTCATAGAAAGTCAACCCCCAGACCGAAATAGAAGGTGTTTTATGGCTGCGGGTTCTGAGATGCTTAGATGGAACGGCAGTTGCAGTGGCTGAGGAAACCTTGCCACTGTGGCGAGACCCCTCTCTGTCTGTCACATCCGCTGCAGGATTAATCCCTCCTGTGCAGAGTATGTTAAGCACAGTGACCACTCGGCCCCGAGAGTTGGCGTGGAGGGACTGCCACCTCGGGTGGCACGAGCCCTTTAGAGCGAGCACAGGCCTTGTGGCTTGCTTGAAGTAAAAGATGCCACACGTGCATTTATAAAAATTTAATTTTCTAACTTCTCTTTCCTCCAGGTCAGGGGAAGCTTCTTAGGCTAAGGGGCTGGGGATTATTTGCGAAGCTTCACAATTTATTGTCTGTGTTTCTGTAGTCCTCTTTGAAATAGCTTGTGCTTTCTGTTCCACGGCCACACTCTCAGGTCTTAGAGCGACCGGTGAGGATGTTCCCTGGCGTCAGAGGGCGGGTGGGTTGTGTGTGTGACGCCACAGCGCCCGTGTGCCGACTCTGCGTTGCAGATGCCTGGCATTTGCTGAAGGTGGTGCGTGCTGTTGTGTCATCCGTGGTGAAGATGGTACGTGCTGTTGTGTCATCCGTGGGTGCTCAGTTTTCAGTGATGTCATAGGAGCCCTTGGTGCTAAAACTCTCCTGTGCAGAATCAACCTTTGATTCCCAAGTCAGTCTGGGGGGTGGCAACATCTGAGGACGTCAGGCCAGCCGTCACTGGTGACCACTGCAGGTGTATTTCCCATGCATTTCCAGTGAAATACAGCCTAATACGTCCTGTCCTGCCTTTTACTTACATTCTTTTGCCTTTCCAAATGAGTGTTTACGACTCAGAGACTAACGCCTCAACACTGTTATTTATGGGACGATTCTTTCCAAAATGGAAATCGTTTCCTTTGATAATATGATTTCTGCTAATATGCTTTCATATGGTAATGTACTGCTTTGGCAAAAACTAACAGGACAAAAAGTCAACAATACAGAGAAAGAATAATCAAACACCCTAGAGTGTTTTTATTTATTTTAATTTTTTTGAGAGAGAGAGCAAGTGAGCAAGAGGGGCAGAGGGAGAGAGAGGGAAGGGGGAGGCGGAGAGACAGAGAGAGAGAGAGAGAGAGAGAGAGAGAGAATCTTAAGCAGGCTCCACGCCCAGCATAGAGCCCAACGTGGAGCTCGATCCCACGACCCTGGGATCATGACCTGAGCCAAAATCAAGAGTTGGATGCTCAACCCACTGAGCTACTCAGGCGCCCCTAGGGTGTTTAATTTAAATTGTTTATTTGTCCAACCTATTTTGTAAGCAAACACTATGTGTTAGCTAGGAACTGGGGATATACTGGTAAGTAAAAATATCTAGGGTTCCTGCCGTCACAAAGCTTACAGTCCAGAGGGAGAGGAAGACAATCAAATGACCACACATGAGTTCTGACAGCATGAACCTGCTTCAGCTTACTTCTAGAAATCCCTCCCAGGGCGCCACCTCAAGTGTGCTCAGGGTTCTTAGCTCTGGCTCTCTTCCCTGCCACCACACTGTGCCACATGTTTTGCTGGTGACACATGTGCGGTTGCCCTTGGCTGGGTACATACGGCTCCCTGCTAACCTGTCAGTCAGTGACTGCTCCCACCTCCTGGCCTGAGTCGGGCCGGACGTATGCCTTCTTCTTAGTGACCTGCCATGGCTTCGTATAGAACAGCTGAGATTGGAATCACTTTTTTTTTCTAAGTTTATTTATTTATTTTGAGAGAGAGCAAGAAAAAGCAGGAGAGGCCAGAGAGAGAGGGAATGAGAGAGAGAGAATCCCAACAGGCTCCGCACTGTGAGCGCAGAGCCAAAATTGGGATTTGAACTCATGAACCATGAGGTCATGACCTGAGCCAAAACCAAGAGTCAGACGCTTAACGGACTGAGCCACCCACGTGCCCCCAGAGTCACTTTTAATGAGACTTAGCTGGAACTGTGGGGGTAAGGAGAGTGAGAGAGTAAAACTCAGAGAATATGGACGCCTGCTCCTGAGGCCCAGTGTCCTTTGACCCCTACTTGCCCAGACTCTGCTTTCATTTTGCCTACCTCAGAACAGCGTTTAGGGTTGAGTCCCAGCCTCAGAGAGAGTAGGAGATACTTTTCTTTTTCCTTGTGGTGATCTAAGACCGCCTCCATTCTCTTCTGAAAACCTTCACCCTACACACGAAAGTCTCTGTGGTACGGTGACCCCAAAGTGATGGATTAGCCCCTTGCTAAGTGAGTATTTCCAGATGTCCAGGTGGAGGAATCTCAAAACTTGTGAGATTTAATCTCACAAAGGTCCT